GTTATAGAATTGAACAAATTTAGGGGCTGGAGATTTTGAAATCTTCCCTTTGAAATAAAATATAGGGCTTTTAGTATTTGTAGAATCCCTGTGAACATTTTTAAAACCACACCACTCGGAAATTAATTGAAATAAAAATTTCTAATTACATTCAATTACATTGTTATACCTAAATTATTAAATATAATAATGCATCATTTTTACTTTCTTAATTCAAGTTGGAAAAAATAACTTTTACCCACTTTATTGTCTTCTTATTCTACACCATTGCACATTTCATCCTCCCTGGTAGTCATGAAATACTATATGATGCCTTATCTTTATAAGTACCCCTGAGACTCCTTATCCTCATAAAGGAACAGCAATGACAACAAAAGACAGCTTAAAATAACTCTTTAGACAGCTTAAAATAAGACTTCATGAACAACAGTTTACCTGCATGTATGCAATAATATACTTAAAATACTTATTGTCCACTTGGACCTGTATTCACATGTTATGGTTGTATAGAGATTTATGCATATAGATAAATTATGCATTCTTTTGAAAAACACAGTTTTATTTCTTTTGTGGCCTCTTTTAATTTGGTACTCATATCAAGGGTAGATAGAGTTATTTATTACCGACTTAACTAATCTATACATAGAAAAAGACCATTTGCTGGTGATTTGATTAGGTGGCATTTGGGAATGCTGGTTTATGAAAGCAGGCTCCTAAAGGGTATTAACATGTTAATGACAGAGTGCCTGGCATATGGGTTACTTGACAAGACTCAGGTAGGTGATAGGTGTTAGACCTTAAGAAGAGATTGCAGTTGGAAGGAAAAAAAGAATGATTAGGGTTAGTAAATTATTTAAGAAGAGAAGCCAAAGATAATTTAGGTTGGGAGAAGCAAGTGAAAAACATATGTGACAAGTTTAAACCTACCAAATGAGCCCAATGAACTCAAAATAAATTCATTCAGTTAACAATTATAATAATCAGATTTATCATACTAAAAAAATTCTAAAACCAATCACATTGTCAAGAGTGTAACAATTGTAACTTATATATACCAACAATGTCCCAGAATATAAGAAGCAAATACTGACAGATCTGAAGACAGAAATAGACCATTCTTCAATAATAGTTGGAAACTTAAACTACTTTTAATAATGTACAGAACTGACTTTAGATAAACAAAAAAATATAGGAGAATGCTAGAAACAATTGCACACCACCAAACTAGATAGCTTAGATGAAAATGACAAATCTTTAGAATCACGCAAATTACCTAAACAAAGTCAACAGAAAAAAGAAAATCTCAAAAGATATACAATAAAGAAATTGAATTAATAAGCAAATACTTCCCAAACAATTGAATTAATAAGTGAAAACTTCCCAAACTTCCCAGATGGATTCTCTGGATATTTCTACCAAACACTAAAGTAAGAATTCACACAATTCTTTTAAAACTCTTCAGAAAAAATGTGAGGAGAAAACACTTACTAACTATTCTTAAGAAACCATCATTATCTAATACCAGAGCTAGATAAAACCATCAAAGAAAATAAAACTGTACACCAGTATCTATTTTGTATTCTTAAAAAAATGTGATAAAAAACAAATGCAATATCATGTTAGAAGGATTATATACTAGGACCTTGTGGGATTTATCACAGAAATGAAGAAATTCCAATAATCTAATATACTATATTAATAAAAAGTTTTAAAACAGAACAATGAACAAATCACACATTATCTTCACAATTGACATAAAAATGCCTTTGAAAAGAATTCAACACCTTTCCATGATAAAAAACACCAGAAAGTTAAGAACAGATGGAAACTCAACAAAATAAAGGCCGATTTTTAAAAATCTACAGTCTCCATATTGAGAGATTTAAAGCTCTTCTCTGAGATCAAAGACAAAAACAAAGGAAACCCATTTTCACCACTGCCATTTAATATTGTACCAGAATTTCTAGCCAGAGTAATTAGACAAGAAGAGGAAATAAAAAGCAACCAAATGTGAAAAGAAGTAAACTATCTCTGTTAACAAATGGCATGATTCTACATGTAGAACTCCCTAAGAACTCACAAGAAAGCTATTAGAGCTAATCAATTAAAACAAATTTCAGGATATAAGGTTAACACACACAAATCAGTTGGTTTTTTTGAAATATAGCTAAAATAAAACATCCACAAAGGAAATTAAGAAAGCAACTCCTATTATAATAGAATCTAAAACAATAAAATACTAAGAATAAATTTATCCAAGGAGACGAAAGACAAGTGTACTGAAAACTAGAAGCATTGTTGAAAGAGATTATAGTCACAGTAAATGGAAAGACATGCTGTGTTCATGGATTGAAAAACTTAATATTGTTACAATGTCAGTGCTATAGGTTCAATGCCATTCCTATTAAAATGCCAACTACTGTTGTGCAGAAGTGGAAAAACCATCCCTCAAATTCACATGCTACTGGAAGGGATTCATACTAGCCAAAGCATCGAGAGTAAAGTTGGAGGACTCACACTCCCTGGTTTCAAAACTTACAAAGCTACAGTAACCAAAATATTGTGATTCTTGCATAAAGACAGACATAGAGACCAATGGAATATAATATAGGGTCTAGAAATAAACCCATACAACTGTAGTCAACTATTTTTTAAAAAAAACTATCAAATCTATTCAATGGGGAAAGCAGTTTTCAACAGATGGTATTGGGACAATTGGATTTTCACATCTAAAAGAATAAATTTGGAGCTTTACCTCAAATTGTATATAAAAACCTACTCAAAATGGCTCAATCACTTAAAATAAGAGCCAAAACCATAAAACTTTTAAGTGACTATATAGTGGTAAATCTCTATTACTTTGGATTGGGCAATACATTCTTAGATATAAAGCTAAAAGAAAAAAACTCAAGGTAAAATTATACAACTGAACTTCAGGAAAAGTAAACATTTTTGTTTATGAAAATATAATATCAAGAAAGTGAAAAAGTATCCTATAGAATGGGAGAAAATACTTGCAAATGATATATATGAGAAGAGTTTAATAGCTAGAATATATAGAGAAAACAAAGTCAATAACAAAAGATGACCCAATTTAAAAACAGGTAAGGACTTGAGTTAACATTTCTGCAAAGGAGGCATACAAATAGTGAATAAGTACATGAAAAGAAGATCAATATGTAGTGATCAATAAACTGCAAATCAATACCACAATGAGATAATTCATACCTACTAGGGTGACTATTTAAAAAATTACACATGTGGTCTAATGGGAACACTTGCACACTTACACACTGAGTGAATGTAAAGTATTATAACCACAGTGAAAACAGTTTGACAGTTCCTCAAACAACAGAAAAAAATGCCATATGAACCAGGAATTCCATTGCTAGGTCTAAAGCAAAAGCATTGAAAACAAACAAATATATATACCTGTAGAACAATGTTCACTTTAGTGTTATTCACTCACTGTGCCTACAAGGTGGAAACAACTCAAGTGTTATTAGAGTTGAATGTATGTGTGAATGTATGAATGGATAAACAAAATGTGCCATGTGCGTGCAATGGAATATTATTCTGCTATAAAAAGAAATAATTAAGCTCTCATACATGCTTCAATATGGATGAACCTTGGGCTATTACGGTAAATGGGGTAAACCAGTTACAAAAAGACAAATATTTTATGATTCCACTTATATAAAATATCGTTCATTTTTCCCCTTGTCACCACAAACATTTATTCATACATATACACATTTACACATATGTAAACAGGATGGCTCTAGGGCATTAGAGTTGTCAAGAAACATAATGAAGACAGTTGCCCAAGGTCACAAATTGACCACAATATTTCAACTCAAACCTGTTGTTTGCTTCAGTCATACATCATGTGTGTCTGGGAGTGTGTGAGTGTGTGTGTTGTGTGTGCACATATGTTTGAATTGCTGTCTAGTGTAGTTGGCTCCTGAGCACAGATTGTAAGTGCCATTGAATGGCTGGCATTCTGTAACCTCTCTTTGGATGGTTGAATATACACATAATAGTCTAAATAATGGGAAATCATAAATAGATTAATTGAAATTTCTTAAAATGCAATGTTTTCTGGCTTTTTTAGTTTTAACTGATTAAAAAAATTGAACTACATATTACTTTTAATAATTCAAAGCTACCAGAATTTTCAAGTAACAAACAAAATCTCTAATGTTTTAAGTAATCTGGTTTCAATTGATAACACTACTACTAATATTTCTAATTGAATTCCCTGCTTATACCTAGTGCAGTGATTAATTTGAGTGTGTTTACAAATTTTGCAATATATTTTTCCTGTAAGACAATGGAAGTGTAGGGTGGACAAGGACAAATCACTTAGCTGCAGAACTTGAACTCAGGCTTGTATGACACCAGGACCAGCTCTTCAATGCTATGCTTGGATGATGCTTAAATATGACCATATTGACATTTATTAGCCATCAAAGACATCTTACTTGTATTTATGCTGGTGCTAAATCAGATATACATTCTTTATTTAGCCTTGAATTGTGCAAAATTGGAGAAATGTGGGCACTTAAAATGAAACATAAGGCCTAAAATTATTAAAACATCATTGCTGTGGTTCTCTAGAAAAGCAATGAATAAATTTGTATTAATTACAATATGCCTACCTTGATGCTTTCTGAAGTCCCACTAGGAAAAGAGATGCCTCATCACTTTCTGTCTTACACTGAGGCATAAAATTTCTATAATGCTGTTTAAATAGCTGCATTACTCTCCCATAGAGGTGGGAGGACTTCAGTCATGGAAGAAATAGTCCCAATATTATACAGCAATTTGTTATCCCTTAAGTTTTTGCACTACATAAATGTAAAATGGTACTATTAGTTTTTGCAATCATAATTTCACCACTCACACTTGAAGCAAGTGATAGTTCCACAAATCAGGCAATGTACAAATTCTGTCATAGTAAAACATTTATTTGTTAAAGTGATATAGATTATTCAAGGTTCTACAGTCTTAAATCATGGATGGCAATGTAACATGGGTTGATACAGAACTCGATGCCAATGTAGGCTTTTTTCTTTTGTTCTTTAAAAAAAATACTGTGGGCCAGAAGAAAAAACAATTTGGCTTTAAAAGGGGATGAAACGTGAGCCAGTTCCACCAACATCAGCGACATCTGTTTCTGGTCCTGTGAACAATTTCTTCTAGGACACGAGTTCAACAATTAGCCATTGTGATTTGAAACATTTTTGAATTTTATCCATTAAAAACATCAGTGGCAACTTTTTTCAGGAGAGAGAGAAGTGGTGCTCTTCAGATTAACTCCAGCCTCTGAAATGAAAGGAAAAAAAGAAAGAAAGGAAGAAACACATAGCTTGTAAGATCATTGTGCTAGAAGTCTGGAAGTTACTGTACATCAAGCACTCAAGACAGATGCTTCTTGCTATAAGATACAAAACACGCCTCTAGAAGCAGCCTCAACACACACATTAGTACTGAAGATATGGCTTAGTAATTTCAAAGTGGTGGATTTATTAAAAAAATATTTTAAAAAGAATTTAAATGTATTAAGTCCAAACAGCTAAGCATATCAAAGCCAAATTGTGGCATGGAATTTTTCCCTGCCTTAGTATTTCACATTTACATTCCCTAGATAATAAATATAATGATTTTCCCTGGCTGGTGTGGGTCAGTGGATTGAATGCTGGCCTGTGAACCAAAGGGTCCCCAATTGATTCCCAGTTGGGGCACATGTCTAGGTTGTGGGCCAGGTGGGGACCCCAGTGGGGGTGTGCGAGAGGCAACCACACATTGATGTTTCTCTCCCTCTGTTTCTCCTTCCCTTTTCCTCTCTCTAAAAATAAATAAATAAAATATTTTTTAAAAAGAAAAAATATAATTTTATTCAGTAATGCATAGCATCTGAGTTTTAACAAATATTCACACTGGTTTTTAAAATATGAACCTATCAGATGGAATTTTTTCTCACATGTAAAACCTTAGTGATCTCTACTCTTTAAATACATTCTGTTGGGAGTTTTATATAATATTTAAATTTTATAAAATTTAATTATGCATTGAATAATAATGAAGATAATTATTCATCATCTATAATTAGTTTCTCACCAAATGAACAACTAAAAGTAAAAACTAACAATAACTCACAAGCAAAAGCATTCCATAATTAACATAATTTTGAATGGAATAATATAAAAATCATTATAAAAATATCTAAATATATTACTGTATTATATATAATAGATACTTCTATAATTAGATCATAAGAATAGTAAATTATAAATGTTTCCTTCTAATATGTTCTGAGTATTTAACATTTATGCCTATAAAGTCTATGCTTGATGAAGATGGAAAAATCTGTTTTACAACTATATAATTCCATACATATGAAATATAAATAATTATTCTCCTTTACATTAGAAACCAACTACATATTTACAATTTAGTGGTTATAAAATGTATGGTACAAATGAATCATGAAATAGAGATTCTTACTTTACTGAATATTCTATGTCAAAATGCTGATGTAGAACTTATTTGGATAACTTGGTGATAAAATCATTAAAGTATATTATGATAATTTAGATACTTTTTGATAAAGGTAGGCAAAATACTTAAAAAACAATAATCTTAAATCAGTGAAATTATTTTTGGCACAAACAGTAATTTTTTAGAATTATTGAATAAGACATTTACACAATGATGATTGTTAATAGGTAACTGATGTGTATCCTATTTGTAAAAATAATACCCTGGAAACAACATAAATACAGATAGCACTATCATATTTTACCTGGAATATTCTTTTTTTTTAAAGGATTGTATAGTTACTCTTTTTTTTAAAGATTTTATTTATTTATATTTATTTTTAGAGAGGGAAGGGAGGGAGATAGAGAGAGAGAGAAACATCAGTTTGCGGTTGCTGGGGGTTATGGCCTGCAACCCAGGAATGTACCCTGGCTGAGAATTGAACCTGGGACACTTTGGTTCCCAGCCCGCGCTCAATCCACTGAGCTATGCCAGCCAGGGCTTGGAATATTCTTTAAAAATTGTGAAATCACTAAATTATAACTGGATATACCTAAATTCCTCTCTATTTGGTTTATAGTGTGGCTTATTCTGATGAAATTGAATATCAACAAGTTTTTGTTTATATGTAATAATGTTTCCTTTAATAGAAAAACATATATAATTGCACTATATCAAAGTTCAAGTTTCAGGAAGTAGTAATGTTGAAAACACTAAATATACACAGAAGAAAAATATAGTAGATAGAATAATTAGTTTGATTTTTGAAATTATTTCTTTCAGATTAACAAATTTTATTTTAATATCAAATTGATGATTCTGTAAGATGACATATCTTAAAGAGCTTTTAGTATCATATAATTTCATATTACATAATATTATTAACAAACTGGAATTATGATTTATATAAAATCTGTTAATTTTGAAAATTAAGGTGTAGCAAAAAGTTTTGTATGTTACAGTATAAATGTGTCTGCCATGATGCTTCTACCATTGAAATGATGACATAATATGAAGCCTAATAAAAAAAACTTGCATATGTAGGATATTTAAAATGACATATTTTACTTTATTTATAAATAAACATACTCTTACAATGATTCCATAAAGATCTAAACAAAAACCCAAAATTATAAATTTGGGGTAGGTTCAGAATGTTTTGGTAATGGTCTTCACATAACAGTTCAAGGGTATTATATAAAACACTGTGGGCAGTCTTACTGACAGTACTGCAAAGAAAGGAGCAAATTAAAGATACCCAACATCAAGAGAAGGAAAAATGCCCTATGTTAAATGGATTGTGGGAAAATGTTGTTGCTGCACATATTCAGAATGTAATTAAGAACTATCAAAAAACCCTAGCAGGGTAGTTGAGGTGGTTGTCTGTACTCCAAAATGTAGTGAGTTCGATCCCCAGTTGGGGTGAGCTTAGGAAGCAACTGATCCACATTTCTTTGTCTCATTTTCTCTCTTTCTCTCTCCCCTTCCTTTCTAAATGTAATAAACATATCTTCAAGTGAGAATTTTTAAAAAAGAGCTATAAAAGTTTTTTTTTCTTTTAATCCTCACCTGGGGACTTTTTACCCTTGCTTTTAGAGAGAGGAGGAAGGAGAGAAACATTGGTGTAAGAGAGAAGTATGTGTTGTCTCCTTATGCGCCCAGGTTGAGAATTGAAAACACAGCCCTTCTGTTACAGGAGATGCTCCAACCAACAGAGTCACACCAGCCAAAACTGAGAGATTTTTATCTTATATATGGTAGTTTGAAGATATAGATCAATGGAACAGAACAGAGAACCCAGGAATAAACCCTCACCTTTATGATCAATGGATATTTGACAAAGGTGAAGAGAGCATACAGTGGAGCAAAGACAGTCAGTCTCTTTAATAAATGGTGCTGGGAAAACTAGACTGGTACATGGACAAAAATGAAACTAGACCACCAACTAACACCATACAAAAGAATAAACTCATAATGGATAGAAAACTTAAATGTAAGCCACTAAACCATGAAAATCCTAGAAGAAAACATAGACAGTAAAATCTCAGATATCTCACATAGCAATATGTTTGCTGAAATATCTCCTAAGGCACTGAAAACAAAGGAGAAAATAAAAAAATGGGACTATTTCAAAATAAAAAGCTTTTGCACAGCTAAAGAAACCACCACCAAAATGAAAAGGGAAGTTACTGTATGGGGAAATATATTTTCCAGTGATATACCCGATAAGGTTTTAATCTCCAAAATATAAAAACAACTAATATAGCTCAACACCAGGGAGACAAATAACCCAATTAAAAAATGAGCAAAAAACTTTTCTGAAGAGGACATATAGATGGCCCATACATATATGAAAAAATGCTCAAAATCACTAATCACCAGAGAAATGAAAGCTAAAACCACAATGAGATATTACCTTTGGACTGTCAAAATGGCCATCATCAATAAGTCAACAAACGTGTTCGTGAGAATGTGGAGAAAAGGGAACCCTAGTGCACTATTGGTGTGAATATAGTCTGGTGTAGCCACTGTGGAAAATCTGGAGTATCCTCAGAAAATAAAAAATGGAAATCCCTTTTGACCAAGTGATTCCACTTCTGAGAATATATACTAAAGACACCAACACAAAAAAAATATGCACTCCTATGTTCATACCAGTGCTACTTACGATAGCTAAGATCTGGAAAGAGCCTAAGTGCCCACTAGTAGATGAGTGGATAAAAAAGCTGTGGTACATTTACACAAAGGAATACTATGCAGTAGTAAAGAGGAATAATGCTTACATTTTGTGACAGGATGGATGGTCCTGGAAAATATTATGCTAAGGGAATTAAGCTAGTCAGTGAAAGACATATGCCATATAATCTCACTTAAATGTGGAATCTAATGAACAAAATAAACTAACAAAATAGAAACAGAAGCTTAAATATTTGAAGCAGTCTGACAGCTGCTGGAGGAGGTGCTGGAGATGGAATGAAAGATGGTAAAGGAATTATTGGAAGAACATTTATATATGACCCATGGACACAGACAACAATATAGGACGGGGAGAGGGTGGGGGTGGGTGGAAGTAGGAAAGGAGGGAAAAGTGGGAACCGTAATAGCATAAGCAATTTAAAATAATAAAATGAAATTAAGTAAATACAAAACTCAAAAAAAGAATATCTAAAAATTAAGGAAATGATTTCTAAAGGTCAGGACTGACACTAAGGTTAATTTTTTTTCTGATTTTCTATAATGCTCAAATAAATATGTTAAAATTGTGCTTTAATTATTATAAAATGTTTTCTACATATGGGCCTATTTTATTCCTCATTTTTTTTAAAATTCACTTGAAGGGAATATCATTAAAAAAACACAGAACCAAATATTATATGTAGATAATTCTTCCTTGGAAAAAATATAGGAGAGATATGTGGATCATATACACATTTTTGCTTTGCTCATTAGCACTTATTTCATATATTTTTCTGTGTTTCCCCATAGTTATTTAAATGTTGCTTAAATAAATGTTATTTAAATAAATAAATGTTATTTATAATCAACATTACTTTTTATTCATTTATATACTACTAGTTTCCCTAAAAGAACTGCACTTCTTTCACAGTTATTGAATCTTTACTAGTTGTTCTGAAAAAATTTTTTAAATTAAATACCTTGATTAGAGCTAAACAAAATAATCAGTAATCAAATTTACTAAAATCAGGAAACAATCACTTGAAGGCAGGAGCAGGCAATCACAGAATAAGCAGTATCCATGTGTACATTTACACACAGACACACAAGGCGCACATATTTTGTTGGTCTGAACATAGCAAATGTGTTAAGAAATTTTACTTAAGGAATTTTCAGTATAAATACAAACTAGTCAATTGTTCTTACCTTGTCAGATATGGAATATCAATTGTTTTACCAGGTTCATTTTAAGCATGAAAGTCTTTCAAAGATAAGGTTAATTTATGAGTATGTGCCAGTTTACTTGTAGAGTAATTATCACTAATTTTGTCAATGATTTCTTTGCCCATTGCTCTCAATTCATCTTAGTGTGATTAGGATTTTATGATTTCATTTTAGAAGAATATTGTATGTGATCCATTAAACTATTTAAACTCAGTGTATTTCATACGGAAAAGGTCTCAGGGAAGAAAACTGACATAGGACATATTCTAACTAATGGAAATAAAATAAATGTGTATTAACTTTTTACCCTCAGAAAAAAATCATCTTAGCAGATAACAGTGTATGAAAATGAACACCTAAACCCCTAAGTGGATGAAACCTTTCTGCCATTTCTGTACCTCCCCATTGGAGCTTGATGTTCTATTAAGGACTGTGATCAAATCAATTTAATATTGTTGCTTTAGAAACATTTTTCTATATCGAAAAAGGAACATGTTGCCCTGGCTGATGTGGCTCAGTGGACTGAGTGCTGGCCTGTGAACCAAAGGGTCACTGGTTCACTTCCCAGTCAAAGCACATGCCTAGGTTGTGGGCCAGGATCCCAGTAGGGGATGCTCAAGAGGCAACCACACATTGATGTTTCTCTCCCTCTGTTTCTCTTCCCCCCCCTAAAAATAAAATAAATAAAATCTTTAAAAAAAGGAACATGGTGCATTTTTTTTTTTTTTACTTTTACCCTCTATATACATAGAGAGCATTTTCATTTAAATTTAATGCAATGGGCAGTGCCCAGTTTTTGGAAAATATATTTGTTTCTAGGTAGAAAAAGATATCTGTCGCCATGCTGAAGAAAATATAAACTTAAAATTAACTTGTAGGCCTGGCTGGTGTGGCTTAGTGTATTAAGTGCTGGCCTGTGAACCAAAGGGTTGCCAGTTCAAGTCCCAGTCAGGGCACATGCCTGGTGTTGTCAGCCAGGTCAGGTTCCCAGTGAGGGTGTGTGAGAGGCATCCACACATTGATGTTTCTCTGCCTCTCTTTCTACCTCCCTTCCCCTCTGCCCAAAATAAATGAATAAAATCTTTAAAAAAATAAAATTAACTTTTATATCCCCTTCCCGAAAAAGAGTGGAGCAGCTGTGAGCACAGGAATCTCTGCCAACTGTCTTCCTCACCATGTCACTCACACACAGCAAAGTATTGCTGACATGCGAAAGGCCAAGAGGAGACTCAGAGCACAGAGATCACAATTGTTGCAGAGGAATCACTGGTTGACCTGACAGTTGTAGAAACAATAGGCCAGTTATACCAGCAATCATTCACTATGTAGCAAGAGTAGTTATTCTGATGTCCTATGGTGATTTATATCTGACAATAGAAATGTAGCAAGGAGTTACAACACAAGTGAATGATGTATTGCCACTAAATTTTGTTAAAAGTATTCTTTGCCTGTGAATTTATTTTTCTTGCAAAGTCTTATAGAGAGCAAAAAGGGAGAATTAGCCAGATCACAGAAGGAAATTTTTCATGATATGACATAATCATTGTTTTATAAAAGGAACTAAAGACTCAACAAAGTTTTTAAAGAAGGTGACATATTTCACATATACAATTTCACTATGTAAATTTAGTACAAAACACACATATATACATATGAATTTACTACATATACAAATGACAAATCACTAAAAGATTATTATACACCGGAGATTCTTAGTATTTGTGTCTAGGTGTTGGATTATGAAGAATTTATATATATTTTTAATTTAAATCTATTTTTTGGATTTTCTGTAATTAATACTACTTACTTTAAGACAAAGAAAGTCACTAGTCAAAATCTATGTGCTTGTCATATTGGCAAACCCTGGGCCATCTCTGGTAGCATACAAACTTCCAAGGAGGTTACTTTTCTGTAAATTTGTCTTCTAACAATGGGTAAAATAAATAAATAATCCTATAATATGTTACATGTCCCATGAAGTATGAAAGTTTGCAAAATTATTTTAATTGGTAATTGAAAAATTATTCAGATTTACTTTCTTGCTTCCAATCATGATAGAATATTTAGCATCATTCTGGACTCTGCTTCCAATAGATGAACAATTTGCTTCCTTATACTTTCCAAAGATACCTTAACTTTCAGAACAGCTAGATGTCCAAAGTTATATGATAAAAGAATTTCTTTAAAATCAAAGGAGAGGGAAGAAAGGAAGGAAAGAGGGGAGAAGGGAGACAGAGAGAGAGAGAGGTTAAGACTGAGAAAGAAAAATGGGGTGGAGGCAATACCATGCACCTTCATGCAGGTCAGTTGAGTACACAAAATGGAATATAAAGCATGTGCTAGACCCCTGTGCTATTGATTATCTCCTGTGAGCCATCTTGCTCTCTCTCTTTTTAAATCATTTTTTATTGTTATTCTATTACAGTTGTCCTGATGTTTCCCTTTTTTGCTCTCCTCTGCCCATCTCAGGCCCTGCTCCCACAGTCAGTTCCCACACTGCTGTCCATGTCCCTGGGTCATTCATACATGTTTTTTGTCTAGTCCCTTCCCTTTCTTTCCACCATTATACCCCTCCCCTGTCCCCTTTGGTCACTTTCCATCTGTTCCATGTTCCCATGCCTGTGGTTCTATTTTTTTTATTAGTTCACTTTGTTCATTAGATTCCTCTGATATGTGAGATCATATGGTGTTTATCTTTCACCAGCTGGCATATTTCACTTAGCATAATATTTTCCTGAGGTTTTTATTTACTTTTTGTAACATGAAAGTGGAATCCTAAATTCAGTAAAGAAATAACGCATGAAAAACATTTTGTTTGATTTTGGATGGAATTTACTAAATTACATTTGCAGTTACAGTTACATTCACAGTTTAATCCCAACTGTGAATGATTGTCCAAGCTCTTGTCTTCTTTTAAACACAAAGTGTTAAAAAAAACCCACAAGATCTTATTTTTATTACCAAGAAATAAATCAATGGCCTTTTATAGAACTTTTAAAAGCAGGGTACTTTTTTCTGTGCCAAACTTCAAGCAAATGGCTGATGATTCCAGCTGTTTGAACAGATTGCTAAAGTGCTATTTTGCTCTGAAACACACTTTCTGATCAAATTAAAATGCAGGAATCAAATACTCATTTGAAACTTAAAAAAAACACCAAGAAGAGTAATTTCTTGCTGACAAAAGGAACACCATGAATATTTCATGGGGAGTCTTTTGCCACATTTTATAGCAGCTTCATTCATTTTAGATAACAGTGAAACACCTCTGCTCCAACCACTTTCAGTAAAATATAATGTGTTGTCTCAGCTCCTATTAAGATGTGGAGGTCAAGGAGAGGAGTGAATAGATTTTATTAATCTACTTTCTTCCCATTGGGAAATATTTCTAAACTGCACATCATATTATGCATGATTCCAAGAGTGACTCCACTCCTATCGGTGTTCCTTTATTTTTACGGAATGAATGAGAAATGTTCACTTAACCAGAAATATGTCAAAATTTAGGAATCAGAAATTTACTTAACTCTACTGAATTTTATTCTTTACTGTTGACTTTAAGTTTTAATGAAAAATATCAATAAATTACATAAGGTCAGAAAACAAAAATTAAAAAATAACTTATAAAGGACTATATCATCTAAAGTGCTAAAATATGAGGCAGTGAACAAGAATCTCACCTGTGTTTCCTGGACAGTCTGGTCAACATTAGACAGCAAAGCATCTGGGGATAAAATTTCAGGATCATCAACAATTATTTTTTTAAGAAACAGACCCTAAAACACTGAAATCTTGAGATGATTTCTCTTAAAGATTTATCTAGACTTCCTTTTTTTTTTTTAACTTACCAGTCCTTGGGTTAATTGCAATGGACTTTTATAATATTTTATGGTTCTCTATGGTTACTTCTTGATTCATAATACTTATACACTGGGATTTTTAGGATATTATTCTGATGACTAAAATGAGCAATTATCAATATGGAATGCACTTTTCCTGCAAGAACTTTAGTAGGGCAATGAGGCATCTCTTCCATTTTCTCTGCTCAAAATCAACATTTCAAATAGAGAGTTGTATTTGATTAATATGAAAAAATACATCAAGGAAAAAAATCCAAGGGAGAAAATGTAGTTTTACCATATTTACCACACAGAGTGTAAAATATTCATTTGTCATGCAAGCCATTATTCAATAACCCTACAAACAAGAATACATTTCATCACATACCCATCTATCCTTATATAAAACAGTAATGTTCTAAATGCAAATCCTCTGCCCTCATAATCCATATGTGATTCCAGTTGCCTATAAATGTTTCATACCATTATGCAGCATTACACAGCACACATTCTGTTTCTTTCCAAAATGTCCTCTTTTAAAGCAAATATTTCTGCTAGTCATTAACATATGACACAGTGAGAAGAAGAAATTAGGCATTTCAAGTAAAAGTCATTCTCAATATGAGTGTGATGAGAAAAGTGCAAAATATTTTCTTATAAAACTCCAGCACAAATATCCATATACATGTACAATGGCCTCTGGAGATTAGGCTTGAAATCTCTAGATTGCTGAAAGCAATAAAAAGACATTATAGACATTTCTATATTATAGACATTAAAGACATTTCTTCTGCACATTATACAGAAGAAAATAATTAGAAACTTGCATTATGGCAGAGCCAATATAGCCCCAAGATTAAATGTATATCCACTTCCAAACACAAAATAAAGGGACTTGATAACTTTTCCCTGAATGTATTTGAATTTTTTTTGTTTTTAAAATTCATGAACAATAGTTATGTATTTGAAGAGAATAGATGAAGGTATACAAGTTGTAGAGGTGGATATCATTAAGATGTTCAGAAAGATTAATTTGTACTAGAGAGTTTATATTCCATTGTAATCTGATAAATAGTAGGGATAGTTTGTACAGCTGTTCTTGGGAAAGTTCTCCGATAACCACCCCTCTTAAATCTAACTTCATTACATTAATTATAGTCCATTTTAAAGGACCAAAAATTATTATTTTAACTGATTAGTTTTATAAATATACATATAAAATCTATCTATGTATATAGATAGATTTTTACTTATATAGAGTATAGGAATATGTAAGTGTACATGTTTTATCCGATGGTAACTTCAAACCTTAAATTTTGACTTTGAAATAGCTGAACATACTCCCAGTAAAAAACTGCTGCTTTCTATGCTCCACTTCACATAACACTGCACTTTTAGGATGACTGGGTTGCACTAATATGTTTACCATTCTTCATATATTAAGTCATCACCTGTACTGCTACAATAACAACAATAGTTTCTATTGCAAAAAAAAAAAAAACAAAAAACAACAACCCTCAAACAAACAAAATGACAAAACTAATTGTATTTGTAATCCCAGCATGTATTAATCTAGTATGGAAGTAAAAAAATTGAGTAATCTAAGAGACAGAGTTCTGAAACTATTTTAAAGTTCCAGTCATTAATTTTGATTATTTTCTCTTTCCTCCATGAAATTTTAGTCAAAGGCAAAAGATTTATATGATCTGAGGAAAAACCAGAGTATCCTCCTTGAAATTTTAAAAATGAGATATTTCTTATTCATAATTTACTCATATTTAACTCACAAGCATTATAATATAGAGTATTATTATTGTTATCATCATCATCATCCACTGAGGGAGATAAGAAAAATATGTTTTCCCATCTAATCCACATCTCTACTGAAGTCCTTTTCCTGAAGGACTAACACACACTCACATGTGCATCCACATAACACTTATAGAAACACTGGGCTCTTCCTAGGACTCAAGGGAAGGCTTTACACAGCAAAGAGAGTGATAGTCTTCATTCTGTCTAATAAAAATGAGCATTGCTTTCTTGGATGCTTCATTATCCCTTTATGACACTCAGATATTGTGTGTGTGTGTGTGTGTGTGTGTATATATATATATATAATATACAAAAGTAATAAGTACTTATATATATATTTATTTAAAGGCCTACTTTAATAGGAGTTTGACATTTTCACATTGGAGACAATTATCCAAAAGAAACAAAAAAACAAGGAAACATATAAGTAAATAATGTTTAGGGTAAATCTCTAAATATATTGTCTATTAATGTGTATTACCACTGAACAAGCTGAATTTGTAGTATAAAATTATTAAAAATCAAAGAAAATATGTATGAACAAGGAAGCAAACATTTATGAATAAGGAAGCAAAAACCATATATAGCTTATACATAGTTGACAACAACCAGTAGCAAATATGTTTCGGGTCATATGTACATACAGGATATATATGTGTGTATATATATACACACAGAGAGATAATATATGTGCATATATGCATATGATTATGTATATATACACAGAGTATATATACATATATATACATACCACACATACATACATACATAGAAGGGTTGGTTAAATGAGGAATGCAAGAAATGACAAAGAAAAACAAAAAGGAAGAGACAAAGAATTTCTTGCTTCTAATAATAAAATATACAGAACACAAATCTCTCCATTGTGCTCATTAACAAAAATTCTTATTACTGCACCATCTTCCCTGGCCCTATTCATTTACACATTTATCTACCCATTCACTCATTCATTCATCTGAGTCATATTGTGTTTTGGACATTATACAAGGTGTGTTTAATCAACCCCAACCTTCCCATAGATTTATTTTTCTTTTTTTTTAAAGGTATATATTCTTTTTTTTTTAAAGATTTTATTATTTATTTATTTATTTTTTTAGAGAGGGAAGGGAGAGAGAGAGAGAGAGACATCAATGCGCAGTTGCTCTGGGCCATGGCCTGCAACCTAGTCATGTGCCCTTACTGGGAACCGAATCTGTGATGCCTGGTTCGCAGCCCACACTCAATACACTGAGCCATGCCAGCCAGGGAGATAGATTTATTTTTCATTCACTTTGCACTGAAACTATCCTGAGCAAAAATTATTTCATACACTTATAAAATAAAAACAAAACATTTGTCCCTCTTGATAGGCCAATCTTTTGTCGATGTCTCAAAATATAAACATTTTGGAAGACAGGAACACAGGAGTTCTTTTTTATCATTGCTAAGAACAAAGTGTTCAAGCCTTTGGTTAACACACCCTGAAAATAGTCTTAGAAAAGTAATACTAATTTAAATGGTTTCAATGGCTTTAGTCAAACAGAATAAATTTCACATATTAAAGAGTTCTAAATGTTTATAAGAAATAAAAATATATTTAATTAAAGTTTCATTAGAAACATAAGCAGGAAATTGACTTTTAAAAATACGGGCAACTAGAAAATACAAATACATGAATTAGTAGCTTGGAGTAAATATGCTGAGCTGCTGCCTGTGTTGCATGATTTTATAGCCCACACATCCACAGTCTTCCTAATCCCAGAGATACCTTCTTGGGGGATTTATTTATTCACATTTCAAAAGCTTTTCTATATTCAGGATTTAAAAATATTTGGTCGGTAAAAACTGGAGAAGGGGAAAAATACTATACTTTTGTCTTTCAGCACCCCATGAAGAATTAAATAATTGATGATAATTTACAATGTTTAATAAGCATAAGAGCATTATTACAGGAAGACAAATACCATATGATATCACTTATATGTAGAATCTAAAAAAAATACAACAAAAAAACAAAGCAAAACCCAAGCTCATCAGTACAGAGAATGGATTGGTGGTTTTCAGAGACAGGGGAAGGGAGGGAGAACAAAATGGATGAAGGAAGCCAAGAACTACCAACTTGTAATTATAAAGTAAATAAGTCATACAAATATAATGTACAGCTTTATAATGTAGTTAATAATGCTGTGTGTATATTCAAAAATTGCTGAGAGCATAATTTAGACGTTCTCACCACAAGAAAAAGAATTCAGTAACTATGTGTGGTGATAGATTTGTTGTGGTGATAATTTCACAATATATACAAATACTGAATCACTATGTTATGTACCTGAAAGTAATATAATGTAATATGTCAATTATATACCAACTTAAAAAAAAGAAAATAAAGAAATTGTGTATCACCTTTGAAGTTAAAAATAAATAAAAATATTTAATTGGAGTTAAAGCATTATTACAGAAATAGTGTTGCAAATACATTGTAACATGTTTTACTTTACAAAATACTACCACATATGATCTCATCTATTCCTCACAAGAACTATGTACCTGGCTTATGAATGCTGATTAGATTTTTAAAATGTGAAAGGCATACTTCGGAAAAGGGAAGCAGGGCAGAGAAGGCACTTAGGAAACACCTAAGGTAATAAAAGCCCATCAGACAATTATTTTCAAGGCTGGCATTGAAAGCAATCTCTAATTGCTTTACTCTTGCCCTTTTTTTAATGACATCATGATGCATCATGCGTAATAAGTACTTCTATAAAGTTAAAATTAACTGAAATTTTTATATATGCTTCTAACAGGAGAAAATTGAACTAATGATTGACATTCCTCAACTGTGTTTTAAATGGTATTTGAGGCAATCTGAGTTAATGAATGCTTATTATATATGGCTAATTTTTTTTTCTACAAGGTTACCACAGTATTTTCAAAACAAAACAACAACTACAACAGAAAAGTTAATGTTAACCTTCACTTACCAATCTTTAATAAAACACCATTGGGTTAATGTACAACACTGTTAGATTTTCTACAAGTTGATGGAAACATTTATCTGTAGACCTTGAGTTCAGTGAATATCCAAAAATGCCACTTCAACAAGGAGCAGCTACATCGCCTGACTAAAGTTAAAATTCTTTTTCAAAACGCTGCATGATTTATAATTCAATTTTACCACTGATTTTAGTTGAAATAATAAATAAACTTACTTTAAAAAAGAAACAGTGAATTCAGAATTACAGCGCAAAAGGGACATATGAAACCACTATCTGGTTAATGAGCAATGACTTTATATTGCTTGTAAATGTAATAAATTCATTAGAAGTCTCTGTTAAATTACTTAGTGATAAAAATAAACATCCCTTTGATAAAAGCAGTCTTGTATTTTTGTGTCCCTTTTTTAACATGCACTCATTAAGAAAAACATAAAACTTATTCATTCAGCAAATATGTATTAAATGAATAAAAACACCTTCATATGAATGCCAAGGTAGATGCATACAAAACTGTGGCCTATAACTTAAAACCGAACTTGAATTTTTTTTGATAAATGCAAAATCAATTGCATTTTCTTCTGCTCCCACTGAAAAACCTGTGTCCTGAATAAGAAATATCACAGAACCATTAAGGCACCAGAACCAAAAATATTGTTTAGAAGGGTACTTATTTTAACACTTGGCTGGATGTACTTATTCAATATTTTATTTTTAATAACATAACAACACAAACTTGTTTTCTATACTATTTGCCTAAAAATAAACACCACTGTCATTGAAAGAAATAGGCAATCTATTCATCAAAAAGTACCAATTATTCATAGGAGGTCCTTTGTAAGATGGAGAAATATCATTATTTATGCAAGACTTTATTTCTGTTATGACAACTTTCATTTTGTGATCTGCTACCACAGAACCTGGAAGCCAATCCTTTTTGGGAAAGACACTGTTACCATGGCATGCTTTTACATATATACATACACAGGTATATGTATTAAATTTATATATAAATAACTGTATCCTAGAGGTTTATACACCTTGGCTCTATCGGCCACGTGTCAGAGAAAAAGGACTGAAATTTCAAATTCCAACTTCTTATATGAGTTTTCAAAATTTTTTTTCATTAAAAAAATAGGTCACATAGTGCTTTCCAATATACACTCAGAATTTGAAAGAGTTGCTTTTCCACTATGCCCATCAGAACTGTGGGACTGAATTAACATCCCATGCATAGACAGGCTTCTTTTAGAAAATAGTCCACATGTGCTCGGTGAGTTAATATAACAATAGTATTGCTTTAATTCTCCATTCAGGGAGTACCTGTGCCTTGCTCTGGGTCTCTCAGCAGGCAAAGTGAGAAACTTACTTGGCTTTGAATGTGCTCTTTTAGATGTGGGCCCCTCTGTGACAGAATCAGGAGGTCGACTAGCTAACTGCAATGCAGTTGAGTTGTTCCTGTTAGTGTTTTGGGACTCAACATTTGTGACAGCTTCGTTCTGTGGTTCGGTACTAGGCTTTGTGCCTGTCTTTCTTTTCTGCTTTTGGGACACAGACGTGCTTGAAGTCCAGGTAGGAGGCAAAGCAGAGGTAGTGGTAGAGGAGTCCTGACTTGAACAAATTTCTGAAGATTGCATCACATTGTCATTGGCAACTTTACAACACTGAGAATTCTCTTCATGTCCCACAGCTTGTTTGGACATGGACTGGGGCAGCATTACACTGCAGCCTTGCATTTGAGCCCCATTAGTTTGAGAGTAGACATTGCTGACCTTGGTGACCTTGTGTTGCCCATTATTGTTACAAACCTTATACCGGATCATGAGAATGATGATGAAAACCAGCACAGATGCCACAATTATTCCACCAATAATAATAATCATGGTGCCTCCCAAAAACTGGGACTGCATGAAATGACATCGCACGTAATCCTGTTCCGTAGTAAACTGGATGCAACCCACAACTCTTGTGGCAGTGAGGGAAGTGATGCCATCATCATATATTGCCAAGACACACAAGTCATACATGGTTCCAGCAGCCAGGTTATTGACAAGAAAAGTTTTGCTCGTAGGAGGTATCATTCTGAGGGACAATGGAATTGTGTTAATATTCAAAACAAAACAAAACATATATACATACAGAGTCATTATGACTTCAGTTCTGTTTCATTTCAGTATTCATTCAGATAAGCTCAATGACAGGTATAAAATATGGGAAAATGTTCAAATCGTGTATTTCCCCAGTAAAAATGGCTAACAGTTACTGTTGGATTCTGCATTATATTAAGGGTGCCTGCACCATGCCTTTGACGAGCTTACTAATTACATTGCTTGGCAAAGCAGAACTCCGCATAAAAACCACTTCTAAAAAATCATTTATGACATACTGCTTTTGAAAGGTGTGACTATGACATTATCTCACTACTAAACAAATCCATTTAGCACTTACAACACCTCTGCAACTAAAAGCCAATTTGAAGGAATGGAAAACACTGACAATCACATGAGAAACCAGAATGGAACCCAGTAAAACTATCTTTAAAAACTAAGATAATTGCTAAGATTAAAGTACTTTACTTCTTGATGTCTGCCCTCTCTTAAACCTTCAACACTGGGTTCCCTGTATGTTTTTTACCTGAATGAGTTTGATGAAAATGCATGAGTAACATTGCCCTGTAAACATGGACAGGGCGAGGCTGTTGACCAGACAGAACATGTGCCCCTTGCCTTCCCCACTGAAGGATGATGGATTTACATTCAAAACAGTTTCTAAAATTTGATGAGTTTAGAGATATCTCTGAATCTATTATATCACAAAAGTCTTCTGTGGAAGAGTATTTATCCGCTAACTTTTTTTAAGTAGCAACTTAAACTATGACCTAAACTAATATCTATTGTGGAAAAAGGCTTGAAACTCTATTTTTACCCTGAAAGGGAGTTGTTGTTTTTTTTTAACTTGGCAATGCTAATCTGTTACACAACCTAAACAATACCATCTAAATGTACCAGGGCGCTCTTAAATCAGAGTATGTATTTGTGATTGAGATCACTACCATTTACTGAGTGATGATAAATGCCAGGCATAATTAAGCATTGCATAAACATTGTAATTTAATTTTTACAGTCACTGCATGAGATAAGCATTATCAAAATGTTATACATGACAAACATTAGGATCTAGAATTCAAGCCATTTCCTCAAAGTCACTTAGAATTTACTTGTCATGGATTAATTAACATCTTAGAATTTAGAAAATGGAAACTAACTTATTTCACAGAATAAATGTTTAAAATACGTAGAATGTGCAGTAGCTACAGGAAAGTGAGGAGCTAGAGGGGGTTGTTTGTCTTTCACAGTATGTAAATATCCCATTGCCCAGGTGAAGAGATGAGTATAACAAGACCAAAACTACTTTATGCTAATATAATGCATCATAGTCTACATCCCATACTTTTAGTAATAAGAGATATTAGAGATCATTTATTTTAATCTCTTCCTTTTAAAGATGAGGAAATTAAAACTCAGCCAGGTAGAACCTTGCCCAGGATTGATCACGTGGTAGCTGGGCCAGGTTTGTTTTTTTCTACCAGCTCAGGTTCATGTTCAAAATTTATCTCATTTCTACACATGAGTGAAAATGAAATTATCTTCAAGAATTCTCATAGTGAGTTAATGTAATTTTAGAAAAGGCAAATACACACACACACACACACACATATGTGTGTGTATATGTATATATATTTCAAAGCCATGATTTTGCATTGCTTCCTAGGATTAATAAGAATCTATAATCAAGAAAATTATATGGAGAGGTAGAAAAGTATATTTCCCACTAAAATTGAACAAGATGTGACTATAAATCAATGAGGCTGAACTTTAGAAAAACATACCAGAAATTATTTAGTCAGATGTAAATTCTATCAATGTTGTTACAGGAGATTACATACTTAACTCCAGTGATACTCTCACTGCTCAAACTATTTATAAAGTTTCCCTTTGGAACTGCTTTAAGAACCAGTGTATATGAGACAACACACGCACACACAGAAGTCAGTCAATCAAAATATCAGTCTCATTATTTTATAGTTACATCATATCTTTGGCCAAATATGGTAATACCCATCTTGATCACCCACCTTATTCACAAGACTTGGCTCCAAATGGCTTTTGCTTGTTTCCAAAATTCAAATTCACCCTCAAAAGACGATGATTTGCCACCACTGAGGATATTCAAAATAGTGTGACGAAGGTTCTAAAGATAATTCCAAAAGTATTTTTGAGCAATGGCAGCATCATTGGGATAATGGTATAGCCTCCCAACGTGACTTCCTTGAAGGAAAGAACACTCATATGGATGTGTAAGTTCTGGTATGTTTTTGAATTTTTAAAATAAATCAATCTTGTTCTCTGATAGTCACATCTCTTAGATGGGGGTGGGAAGTAAGCATAAAATTAAACACAAATTTGAACTCTAAAAATAACACCATTCAAAATAGTTCCCCACATGTATTCATCTTTCACAATGTTTACATTATACACTTAAAACATGGAATACTATAATTACAATACGGAGGAGCGCTGCAATGAAAAATTATCAGAGTGCCTTAACAAGGCCTACACTACAATAAATGGTAAGTTTAGAGATTTGCTTAATTTTTCTTACCTGTAAACAAGGGTGTCATCATAAGTACCATTGTACTGGATTTGAAACATTCGTATTCCAGGGATATTTCTTTGAAAATTAAATTTAAGTAATGCCGTAGATGATGTTGCTTCTGCCACCACAATCTTATCTTGACTCATTTTAGTATCACCATTACTACTGCTTGCATTAGAGCCTGACTTAGTAGAAGTTGAGATATCTGAAGAACCAGGATCAGGCTCATGGATGTGGTTTGTACTGTTTAGCAAGTGAGGGAGCTTAATTATATGAAGATCCACTGTTTGTGTTGCTTCCCCTGCAGGGTTGGAAGCAATGCAGGTAAAAGCACCTGTATCCTTTACAGTTGTTATAACAATGTCAAGTGTTCCATTATCATACACCAGAGATCTCGTTGCATTTGAAATAAGCTTCCCTTCAGGAGAAATCCAGTGAATTGCAGGTTCAGGGTCTCCCCTGGCTTTGCACCTCAGGGTTGCCCTTTGACCCTCCAGGACTCTCATCTCATGTGTATGACGAGTAATGAGAGGAGGCTCACACAAAAACTCTTCCTCAGGAATTGACCAAAAATAGCGACCAGTTAAAAGTGCTGGAGAAGCACAGGTCTCCAGGTCATCTTCTCTGGACAGACGCCTCAACCACAACAATTCACAATTGCAATGCAAAGGATTTCCACCAAAACTTAATGCAAAAGTAGATGGGTTTATGATTCCTGAGGTCACTAGTACCTGAGCTCGCTGAAAGAGAGGGTCAGGTGGCAGCTTCTGCAATTTATTGGATGTTACATCTAGCCGAGTCATCTTGTGCAAGTGGGAGAATGTCCCCTTAGGAATATTATCGATCATATTGTGGTCCAGACTAAGGGTGTGCAAGCTAACCATCTTCTCAACAGCATCCCAAGGGATTGTTTCTAAATTATTATAGGACAGATCCAGCTCCTCAAGGGCAAAAACATCATCAAATGCTGTAGATGAAATTAAAGTCAGCTGATTATTGTTCAATATCAAATGATGGAGGTTGGAAAGCCCACTGAACATATCATTTGTAATTTTAGTCAATCTGTTGCTATTCAAATGCAATGCCCTCAAATTTCGTAAGTCGGCAAAAGCATGAGGTGTAATAAAACTTATTGTATTCCTGGACAGAGTCAGGTCCACCAAGCTGGTCATATTGGCAAAATCTTTCCTTTTGATATTTGTAACAAAATTGTCTGCCAGCCGCAGTTCCACAGTTCTTCTGTCAATGTTTGGAGGAACAAATAAAAGCCCTTTCTTGGCACAAAGGGTTGCAAGATTAGGAGACAAAATCTGACAGACACAACGCTTTGGACAGATCTGAGCTCTCACTGCTATGCCAATGAAAAACAGATAAAAAAGGAATTTTTCCATTGTAGATCAGATTTAAGAGCCTGTAAGAAAAGACACAAAATGTAGAGTTAGTATTCAATAATTTGACCAAAGTTCATATTCCTAGTAGATTAGCCTTTTTAAATTCAAATTGAAGTACAGAAGTGATTTATTCATTTGTTTATTTAACAAGTATAGAATATTTTCTCTTGATTGGAGGATATAGTGGACACTAGGATGCAAAATACACTATTCACAGCTTTGTAGGGTTTAAAATCAAACAGAAAAGTAGACAATAGATTATTATAGTTCTGTGAATTCAGTGCTATTTTTGAAATATGGCTGAGGGACTTCATGGATACACAAAAAAAGAGATATTTAGCCCAAATGGAGTGTTCAAGTTCTGGAAAACTTCTCATAATCCCCAAACATAAGTTCAAATGCTTAAAAATATATTTAAGGATTTGCAACTATTTCAATTTACTAGCCTTAGTACCTAAGAGACGATATTTGAAATTGTTAAACCTGTGGCATTATATTTGAAAATAATTAATTTTTGATTAAATTTGTATTCATCATTACAAATTCTCTTGAACATAGTACAACCTTCACATCCTAGCATTAATACAGAATCATATTCTCAAAAATAAAAATGCTGAAATTTACTATGAAGTCTCTGAGCAATAAAAATTTTATTTGATGTAAACATGGATTTTTGAAGATAATTTATGGGAAGTAGTTATCAGTGTTAACATATATCTTTTTGGACTCACTGTTAAATGAGTCCAAAAAGATATATATTAAATTTTCTTTTTCTTAAAATCTTAATGCATTTACATTTATCCAAATTTAAATTGAAAAGACTGACAGTTTCATTTTCTAGTTTTATCGTAACTATTTGCTCTTGAAATTAATGCTCAAAAATAAATATACTAACCCATATGGTTAAAACTTCATATAAGTTACATTTAGTTTTAAATGCCAAAAGGAAAAGTAGCTGGATAAATCATTAAATTTTTAATTGAACAAATATGAAATATGGAGTTATTCTAGAAATAATGTACCTGGCTTTCTAAAAAGAACATATTATTATAGGTTCAATTTACTTTATGCCCATTTTATGCCATATTAAATGTGGTTTTAATGAATAAGAATTGCCATTGACAAATGAAATGAAGTTGTACCCTCTGTTCATGATAGAATGACTAGTACTAAAGTAGCTTTTCCAAAATAAGTGGAAAAAAATAAAAAGACATAAAACTACAGTTTCCAGATATCAGAAAAAAAGAAGCACAGAACTGTGATCCTTGAGAAAAGTGAATTAAAAAAAAATGAACACTATCATTGCTCCTGGAGGCACCTTCTAATCCACAGCACAAAAGGGAAAGCAAGGCCAAGACCAAACATTAACAGTCTTATTTATTGAAGAGACAAGAGATGGAGTGCAGAGTAGGGTGGTTTGAATGTATGAGGCAGAGAATCAAACAAGGTGAGTAACCAGAACTCCAGTAATCTCCAGGTAGAAATAGGGGAATAAATACTAACCATTATGAAACACTGATTAAAAAAGCAAAAGATGAAACTAAATTTGAACGAAAACTCAGTGACCTGTGGACAAAAATATGAAGAATTCAAACATACATAAAACTGCAATATCAGAAGAAAGCTGTAAGGTAAAAATTTATTTGAAAAATAATGGCAATTTTTTTCAAATTGGTGATAAAAAGTCCCAGCAACCCATTAACCTAAGTTCAAAATAAGAAAAACCATAGCAACACACATTATAATTATATTGAAGATAACTAAAGAAAAAGAAAAAATAAATGTAAATACAGTCACATAAATAAGACACATTATAACATGATAAGTGAACAAAATAAAAATAATGCCTGATTTCTAACTGACTTCCTTTTGGAAGTAAAGCAAAATGGAAGACAATAAAAAATACTTTCATAGCACTTCAAGAAAAAGGAAAGCCTGTCAACTTGGGTATGTTTTATACATTCATAAAAGATAAAAGTAAAATAAATAAACTCAGTTTGTCTCTCTCTCAGTTTGAAAGAAACAAACTGAAAAATTCATCACAAGTAGAATGGTACTATAAGAAAATATAAAGGAATTCTCCTCAGAAAGAAAATTATATTCAGTGGAATCTTGAATCTTTATAAATGTTTGAAAAGCAACAGAAATTGTATATCTGTGTATAAGTATAACATATTTTTGCTGTGTTTTAATGTTCATAAACAGTACTTCTGGTAAAGATATAAAAAATTACAGACCAACATTCTTACCCTCACTATTAAATAAGCTGGATAAGCTACAAATCGTATATGCTTTTAAAAATAACATCATAACACTGAGGATGCAAATAAAGTTAAATGAACTATATGAGATCTGTCTGGAAAGTATCCAGCCATGCACTATGAAAAATAGAGACATTTATTGAAGAAGATACAAGATACAAGAAACATTATACACAGGAGAGTGATGCCTCATTCCCTTCCAAGTAGACACTTCAATGTCTCACACAGTTCTCCCAATGCTATCGGCCGTTCTGTTCTATTTTTCCTGAACCTCATTGACAGTATGAAATCTCTTCCCTTTCAAAGGTGATTTTAGTTTTGGGAAAGGCCAGAAGTCACAGGGCACCAAATCTGAGCTGCAGGGGGGCTGAGTCATCTGGGTGATTTGAGGTTTTGCCAAAAAACTCTGCACAAGACTTGATGCGTGAAGTAGCATACTGTTGTGATGAAGCTGCCAATCGTCAGTTGTCCATAAATGTGATCTTCTGAATCATCCCAGTAGTTTCCACAGAGGAATGTTCAAGCTTAATGCAAATTCTTAAATTAATGTTCGAATACAGTTGTCTCCATTTTCCCACCACCAGTTTCCCCCACTTGACCCATCCCCACCTCCCACCCTCAACCCTACCCCCTTTGGCTTTGTCCATGGGTCCTTTATACATGCTCTTTGAGGACCCTTTCCCTTCTTTGCCCCCATTATTTCCCTCCCTGACTCTGATTACTGTGAGTTTGTTCTTAACACAAAAATTTGATGCACACTTGTTGCTCTACTTGCTCAATTATTTTGAATGTGATGTCCACACAGAACATGTACTCACTCAAAGGAGGTCTACTGCCCCCACTGACTAGTACAGTGAAGTCATCATTGTTCACACATGCTCATTCCAGTCCACTTTCCTTGTCTGCCAGGTTGCATCGATGTTGCACAAACAATTCTCATTATATTAACAATGGATGGACTTTTTCTGGACAGACCTTGTATTCCAGAAAGTGACAGTCTTTTATGAAAGGGAAGAGATCCATGGATGCCCTCCTATTTTCCCCACAAACAGAAAGGTAAATAGGAAGACCTACTGGGCATAATAAATTGGGGGGAGGAAAAATCAGCTTGGCTTTTAAAAATATGTTTTTAAGATTTCATTTATTTATTTTTAGAGAGAGTGGAGGGAGAAAGAGAAGGAGAGAAACATCAATGTGTGGTTGCCTCTCACGCACCCCCCTGCTGGGGACCTGGGCCCACAACCCAGGCATGTGCCCTGACTGGGAATAGAAGCAGTGACCCTTTGGTTCACAGGCTTGTGCTCTATCCACTGAGCTACAGCAGCCAGGACCTTTTAAAAATATATATTTTTAAATTTTATCCTCACCTATGGGCATAGTTTCATTGCTTTTAAAAAAAGAGGAAGGAGGAGAGAGAAACATCAAACCTACCTTTCAGTTATGGATGGGATGGCACTCAAATCACTTGAGCCACACTGGCCAGGGCTTTTAAAAATATTTTTAACACTTTATTTTGTAGAGCACTTTTAGGTTTACAACAAAATATACAAAAGGTACAGAGATTTCTCATCTAATAACTGCTCCCACATATGGAGAGCCTCCTCCATTACCAACAGCCCCTACCCGCATGGTAAATTTATTCTAACTGATGAATGTAATTTGACACATGGCAGTCATCCAAGGTCCATATTTACATTAGGGTTCATTCTTGGTTTTATACATTCTATGGGTTTGAACAAATGTGTAATGGCAGATATCCACCATTATGGAGTCATACATAGTATCTTCACTTACCCCCAAATCTTCTGTGCTCTGCCTACTCATCTCTCCATAGCCCATCTCTTCCTGACAACCATAGGTCTTTTTGCTGTCTCCACAGTTCTGCCTTTTCTATTATGTTTTTCTATAGTTGGAATCATATAGTATGCAGCTTTTTCAGATTGACTTTTTTCACTTAGTAATATGCTTTTAAGGTTCTTCCATGCCTTTTCATGGCTTTATACCTCATTTCTTTTAGCAGTGAGTAATATTCCATTGTCTGAATATACCACAGTTCATTCATCTACTCACCTGCTGAAGGACATTTTGGTGCTTCCCAGTTTTGGCAATTATGAATAAAGCTTCTACATACATCTGTATAAAGTCTCCTGTGTAGATATGCATATTTAGCTCCTTTGGGTAAATACCAAGAATATGATTGCTGGAGTATACAGTAAGAGAGTGTTTAGCTTTGTAAGAAAGTGCCAAATTGTCTTCCAAAGAGGTTGCACCATAATTCCTACCAGCAATGAATGGGAATTCCTGTTGTATCACATCCTCACTAGCCCTTGGTGTTGTAATTGTTTCATATTTTGGTCATTCTAATAGGTGTTGTTTGTTTTAATTTGCATTTTCCTGATGACATATGATGTGTGGTATCTTTTCATATATTATTTGCCATATCTACATTTTCTTTGATGAGCTGTCTGTTAGGGTCTTTGGTCCATTTTTATACATATTAATTGTTTTTTACCTTAAATGTTAAGGCTTCATTGTATTTTTTGGATAAGAGTTCTTTATTAGATGTGTTCCTTTGCAAATAGTTTCTCCCAATGTGTCTCGTTTTATTCTCTCAACATAGTCCTTAACAGAGCAGAAGTTTTTAATGTTAATGAAGTTCAGCTTGTCATTTCTTTCATGGATCATGTTTTAGGTGTTGATGTGTAAAAAGGCATCACCAAATCCATGGTCATTTAAGTTTTATTATATTATTTTCTAGT